TTGTCGGCACTATGACTTACACGAAACGCTGGACTGAGTACGAAAGTTAAGCACTCTCATTTCCGCAAACAATTGATTACCGGAACCTCATTTGAGCGCCGACTACGCGTGGTCAACATTCTGCACCACTCTACGCGAACAGGGCTCCTTAACCACCATCTGCAAACAGGTTTCCATAGGGAAGAAACTCTTCACGCCCGTCCGAAGTCGGACCCGGAACTGGATTGCCCACAGGGAAACTGGGTGGAGAGCATATCGTTCCTGTCCAACTGCTACTCACTGGGAAGCTTACCGACTTCTTTGTAACCACTGCGTCCAGCTTATAGGCGAAGATAATGATCAGCAACGACCTCAGATTGTGCTCAGCTTTTCTGCTAACCCAAAGCCCTTTATAGTCACGTCGACCGCATAGACCATCGCATTCTCCTCCACAAACTCCAGAAATATGGAATCGGTGATCCTGTTCTAGGCTGGATAGGAGACTTTCTCGTTCAACGTCACCTGAATGTGAGGGTTCGAAGCAACCTATCAGAATCCATCGAAGTTCAATGCGGCGTACCTAAGGGATCGGTACTTGGACCCCGCCTGTTCCTGGTATTCATAAATGATCTCACGAGTGTGATATCTTTTAACTGTTTGCTATTTGCTGATGACCTAAAGGTATGGCGCAATATAGCTGCAGTGGAGGATCACACATTCTTACAGGAGGACCTGGACAAAGCGTACAAATGGTCCATCGAGAACATACTGCATTTCAACGTCAGCAAGTGCAAAGTTCTCGGTATATGGCACAAGAGTATGCACAACTACCGCCTACGACCACAAGTTCTACAGCGCGCTTCTCACGAGTGCGATCTCGGTGTGATAGTTCAAGATGACCTCGGTTGTTCGAGGCAGACTGAAAAGGCAGCTAAGAAAGCGAACCAGTACCTCGGCCTTCTTCGTAGAGCCTTCGGGAAGTTTGACCCTTCAGTCTTCCCAAAAATGCTTAGTGCGTACGTGAGGCCGCACGCGGAGTACGCTATTCAAGCGTGGCAACCCTGACTCAAGCACCATCTCACCGCGCTCGATACTGCACAACGTAGGGCAACGAAAAGCGTCAGAGGTTTGACCAGCCTCCCCTACCCACTCAGGCTGAAGACCCTCAAAATATACAGTGGACGTTATCGGCATCTAAGGGGCGATCTCATAATGGTGTACCTAATGCTGAGAGACCCCAACCACCCATGCCATTCCCTTTCAATACTCAGTCAAAACACCTCGCTAAGAGGTCACCAGTTTAAGTTAGTCACGCAGTACAGCCGCCTGGAATGTCGGCGAAAGTATTTCTCCCTTCGAGTGGCACAGCCTTGGAACGCCCTTCCCGAACATGTAATTAATGCACCCACCCTATCCTTTTTCAAAAAACGCCTTGACGATACCCTGTCACATTTACACTACGTGCTATAGCTCATGAACACCAGATGCTGGCACTAATGCACAACAGACAGGGGATAGTGCCATAACCCTACTTGGGTATGAATCATTCCAAACTCCTTACACGAAATTTGATAAACGCTACTACTACAGAAACTGGATTATTGTATACTGTCGACCCAAGATTGTTGCACACAAGTAAGCGTTGTCCTTGCTACCTTTTTTATTTCTCTCGCCTATGATGTGAACAATAACCACTCCCCTGTTGCTTTGTGTGAGTACATTCTCATTTCAAACTCCCTCTATACGACAGTGCAGTTACATCTGTAAGCGCCCCAACTGAAGACTCCATTATTCCTTCGCTATCATTTTTAGCACGCTAAACACCCTACGGGACATGTCAAGCACCTGCTTTTTTACCTGTAATAAATCATTGTTCATTGTTCAACAAGTGGCCGGAGGTAACCATGAGGCGTAACACGTTAGTAATCAGTACACTACACGCATTGAGACACATTTTCAGCCTGTATGGGCTACCAGCAACCATTGTGTTGGATAACGGGCCGCCATTCACGTTTCATCAGTTAGCTGTGTTTTGTGCATGCAATGGAATCGAACACCTGTGGACTGCATCATATCATTCGCAATCTAATGGACAGGCCGAGCGATTTGTGGATACCCTAAAAACCAGCGTTGTTGCGATGGAAGTGATAGGGGTAGATAGAAGAATGGCTAGAGACATTCTTACTGAATTAGCTAATTGCTCCTAATGCAAATGCGCCAGATGGGAAGTCGCCTGCGGGCCGAAGACTAAGAACAACTTTGAAGTTAATGACCCCCAAACGCCAACCGACGCGCTCTACGAATCCTGTAATGGAAACCCAGTGCACTAGGTGACATGGAGCGCGGCGCAGGGATTTTGCAGTCGGTGCCCAAGTGTTTGTGGTCATTGTGGAAGAACATGATCAAAAGGGAACCTAGATTTATCGTACAGCGCAGTGGTTGCGTGATGTATGAAATCCGTGTCGGTACGCAGATGTGATCCGCCAAGCCAATCAAATGAGGCCAGGCTACATGGAGAACACAGTGGCATCTTACACCAACGCACTTGATTTTACAGAAATGCTAGACAGTGGCAAACCGATAAATTTAGCCGGACAATGCATGCAACCTTTGGAACATTTGGAAAAGGGAACACAGAGGAGGACGAAAAGGAGAAGACGATTTGTTCAGCATTCCAAGTGGACCCCTGACGGAAAAGATACACATCCCTCAATTAACTAACTTTGATGAAGCGTGAGGTGTATCGCAAGCCGGTTTGAACAGGGCACTACCTCAGGTTTATCAGATTTTATCCTGTAAACTAAAAAGCAGCATTGGTTCTCACCGCTTTCACGACAGCTCGAGAAATTTTCTCTTGTGATACTACTGACACTGAGGTGAAACATCGATCAGCAACCCTATTTGCAATTGGATACCCCGAGAGAATTACAACATAATCTGCGAACACAGAAAATAGTGCGAAACGACTATGTCGCTAATGAGCAGATGTTTATTACGTTATTACTTAAACAGAACCAAAATGACGAAAGATTCCAGCATCTTCTCTACCAGAGGATAAATACGTGTTATTGCGCGCCCGAATTTGTTACTGCATTAAGTTAGAATTCTGTTTAATTTAGACAACCTATAGAAAATCGATTTGCACCCTAAAACTGTCGGAAATTATGAAATCCTGGTCGGTTCAAAGTTTATTTCAAGCTATTGAATCAGAGATCCGGTTCTTGGCTGGATTGGAAACTGTCTTCACCCAAGGAGTCCTTAAATGTGCGTGTTAGGGGATCACTCTTTAACCTGCTGGAGGAGGAATGTGGTGTTTCACAGCGCTCCGTGCTGGCACCGTGCCTGTTACTTACTTTTATCAGCGACCAGGCAAGAGTTAGCTCCTCAGATTTCCTGATTTCGCCAAAGATGCCAAGATATGGCTGGCGATTAAATACAAAGTTCGCCATCTACTCCAACACAACCTAGATATTTTTTATGAGTACTTAACGTGGAACCTACTCTAGTTGAACACAGTTATGTGCCAAGTGATCCGTCTGCGTCACCTGCCAGTGAACGTGTACAAGCTAGGAGAACACACCTTGCAGAATGCCTCTCAACAGCGTGACCTGGATCTACTGATACAGGACAATCTCGGATGCTCAAAGCGAGCAGAGAAGACGTCGAGAATCGGCAACCAACACCCTGGCCTAATTTGCGGAGCGTTCAGTCGGTTGGACCCCTCAATCTTCCCCAAAATGCTTACGCGCACGTGCAACCGCACGTGAAATGCGCTATTCAAGCATGGCACTCGTGGCAGAAACAGGATCTCGTTCCTCTCGAGACTCCTCACCGAAGGGCAACCAAGAAGGTCCGGGGTCTCTTTTATCTGCACTATCAGTTTAGACTGAGGTCCCTATGAATGTACAGCAGTCGATCTCAGCGGTTGCGGGGAGAGATCTCACGAGTGTTTGTCATATTCTGAAGAAATCATACAACCTTTGCTGCCGGCTGCTGGAACCGAACAACAACACTAAACTAAGAGTTAATCCTATGCAACTGACAATGCAGTATAGCCGGCTGGAATGCCGTACAAATTTACCCTCCGAGTGTGTCAGCCGTGGAACGCTCTCCCAAGCTATGTCGTTTTTCCACCAAATCTAGAGTCAAATAAAAAATGACTTGATGAAGCGTCGTCTCATTTACATTTCATTTTATAAATTGTTGGCCAGGGGCTACAAAAAGCAATCAAATGGTGTTTTCGAACTCCCAAACAACAGATTTATGGATTTGTACTTTTACTACGCCAACATCCCTGCTCTTCTGTATATGTCTATTGTGAGCACCCAAACGCTTTTCACTTTATCACGAATTCTTATTTTCTCAATAATTGCCATCCCACGGGGCCCGTTAAGCTTTCCTTTTTTACCCGTAATACACCAGTGTTCCATCATTGTACATCTAGTACGCGTGATTCCCAATTTAGATAAACAGGAATGCTGCTCTTGTGCATGTTGAAGCAGTGTGGGCTGACTCCGTTGATAAAACCTGGCTCCCATCCACATGCCTACCGGTCTTATTTCTTCGGGTTTACATTGGCTATGGGATGTGTGGATGGAGCTGTGGGTGGTGCGACGCAAGCCACCCATTGTCCCCCTTAAGGCGCAGGCGTCCTGTGGCTGTCTCCGTGCAGGCCACAGTGACAAATGAAGCCGGAATCGGATGCCGCTAACCATATTAACAGCTGAGGAGAATGCCCGAAATATCTATACTCAGTGTCTTGTAAAATAATGTCCCTTTTGTATGCTAAAATCCCTCTATACCTTACTTCCCATGTGCCATAACGCTAGCTCAATAAATGAAATCTCAGTCACTACGTCACCTCATAAACCTAGAAGTCATCGTGTCCAGCCATTCTTGTGGGTTAGCTTCTAACCAATCCAAGTGGAGACAAAACTTCCGCACATCCTTGCAAAGTCTGCGCTTCGCAACAGCGGACCACACCTGCGTGTACTAAGTAGACCCAGTTTCTCATTTCACCGTATCACTCAAGGTCTGATCACTCGTAGGTGCTGTGTGTCTAGTGGTGCACGCGTTACTCTGCTCGATATCGCGTTCAGCCATTGCAGTGTATGACACGTGCCGAGGTTGGCCGAAAGCCGGAGTGCAAGTCTGAACACCACATTAAGGTACAGTGGTATGGTGAATTCGCATGTCCTACACGCAGCTGCACGTGATCCGTCAGTGCGAAGAAGTAAAATGTGGCGGACACGACCGAATGCGACACCGCTTGTCTCGATATACGTGGGCACGATAAAACTGCGGAATCTATTGGTGATACTCTGTTTGGCAAGCTGGGCCGGTTGGCTTCCATGCTCGGGACTACAACTCCGTCGTCACGGCCGAAGATGGGTAAGTTTTAGCTACGTGACCTGGTTAAAATTCGATATCAATGTTTAGGTGAGCATTCAACATTTTTATTGTTTATAGCGCAATTGAATGATCAGTTATTCAGATTTGCATCCCGTTAGACAAATTTCACGGACCGGAACCGCCTTTGCATTGTGCTGTTCCTCTGAACGGAAACCCGTTCGATGAAATAGCAGTCGTTGAGTGGCTTACAGTGAAGCAATTAGCGGCGTTTATCATCCCCGCATACCAGACACTTCTCACGTTCAACGGTACTAACACCCAACTTACTATTAGCTACAGGAGAATAACAATGAACAACGATTTAGCACGAGTCAAAATGCAAGCGCTTGACAATTGCTGTAGGACGGTTGGGGTGAATACTACAATCTAAAAGGATATGTGCGTCATGTACTGAGTTAAATGTGTTGCTGAATAATGATAGTGTGGAATAAGAATTGAAGATAAGCCTACAGGACAACACGGAGTGCAGTGATCGTTGGCGTAAAGGGCGAGAATACCAAACTTTGGTCGCTCACTCATGCGCCACCTCCTTGGGTCCATGTGACGCAATTCCGGTATGAGGGCACGATAAAGATTATTCACACTAATACAGGCTAGATAACGAAATGCTGGGAGCTAAGCGTAACATCTAATCGTTTTTTTTTGAAAAATCCCAACGTAGGTGAGGACACAATTGCGTTTATGAAGGAGTTCTAGGGTTGGCAAACTCGAGGGGAAAACTAATTCCGTCGACACTCTATACACTCAGTTTCAAGCAGTTACCTGTGACGTTTGTGTTGTGGCTAACTTTCAGAAAATGGCAGCATACTTGGTTGGGATCACACATTATTTGGTACGCTAATATGGGATTGCCGCGTAGCTTACGGTAGCGTCTGCTGAAAACCCAGAAAGTTCAGCCTTCGGTGGTAAGACTGATTGCGTAGGCTCTTGACATTCTTTGCTGCCTTGTGTTGTGGTGCTTCTAGCAGTTCTAGGTCGCGCTCCAATTAAGCATGCCGAGCTTGGATGGCGTATTCAACGTGACGGCGCGCGTGGGAATTGTGCATCATCGGGAAGATTGATGGGTCAAATCTCCCGAATGCCCTCTGCAGAGCTAGTTGCCTCTTTTCGCAGATATCTCTCCCTGTCTTGAACAGTTGAGGTCACTGCACGAGCACACCAAGGTCACTTTCCTTGGACTTAATTTGCTATTTGTGTGCCCACAGCCAATACGTATTGTCATGCCGATGGTGTAGTTGAAATATTTGACCTTTGTCTACATTGTATGCTAGGGCATTCTGAACTGACCAGTACGAACTCGCCTTCCGATCTTCTGATCGCTCGTCATACCTTGACCTAATCTGCGTAGAATAGAAAATCGTAATTGGTTGATCTCGCTAGGTAGTATATGAAAACCAAGCATAGACTAGATCCTAGTACAGAGCCTTGTGGTACACCACACTCCACATCGATTGCAGTGGACAGACATTCCCGGACTCTCAACTCCAACCGACGTTCGTGTGGAAAATTGTATATCCAACCCAGGATTTGGTTGCCAATGCCGTAGTTCCTAAAGTTGTGAAAGAGAAATTGACAGTCGAAGCGATCAAACGCTTTTGAGAATTCCAGCTACATGACATCGACTTTCGCTCCACCACCAACTACTTTAGTCTGGATATTGCGAGCAATTAATAGCTTAGTAGTACGTGAGTGCTTTTGGCGGCAGCCATATATCTCCGGGGCTATTATGCTCTGCTTTTCCATCTACTGCATCAGTGCACCTGTGGTGGTTGATTCCATAACTGTGGAAAGCACAGAAAGCAGCGTTATTGGATAGCAATTGCTAGGGTTATTGTGACTACCTCCCTTATGAATAGGAGTGATGGCCCCTCACTTCCCTATCGCTAATGGAAAACGGTCAGTGGTACTGTTGGGTCACTGGCTAATACTTGTAGAACCTTCGATGGAACCTTATCGATTCCAGAAGAGTTGTGGGTACGCAGGTGTAACTACCTCTTCAACACAGCCTCTGCAGTGAAGGTGACGTTGAATAAACCGTAAGACTTCGGGTGATTTCATCGGTGATCACGTACACCCGTCAGTAGTAATGAGCGCCGAGATTCAGAACTTCACCTCACGAAGGCCACTAACTTGCCTGTATAGCAGGTTACATTTTGTGCGTAATCGCTTCGTTAACTCCTGTTGTTGCCTCACTTTATCTACGCGGATCAAGTTGGCACAAAACTTACGCTTTGCCACATACGCAGTCTAAGTGTCCTCATTCATTCAGTGTCCTCATTCATCGCCACACCAAATCCCCCAGGGAGATACATTTACTTGTTTTATTCCTCAGGAATGACTAGCTTTTTATTTGACGATGGAAGGATTTCTATTCCGATGACTTCGCTACCAGTGTTCCAAATGTCTTCGCGAACGTTGCCCAGGTGACTTTTGTGGACATCCAGTTAAGTTGTTGAAAGATGTATTCTTAACAAAAATGTATGACATGCTGTAGCACGTGACAGTATGTACTTTATCGTCTTCCACTTCATGATATTTCGCATAACATATATAGACAAACTGTTGTGTAGCATGGTCTGAGACCCATTAGTCTGCTTGTAACTGTTCCGTCTACCATAAGTTCCTCGTTAGTGAGCACTGGATTAAGTGTCGACGAGCTGTTAGCAGGTTCAATTCTGGTTGGAGTGGTGACGTGGTTGTACAGAAGGTAGCTACAAATTAGTTCCAGCAAACAGGCTTTAAACTGTACTCCATCCTTTGCCAGAGTTTCCAAACCGTACGAAATAAAATCTCCAGCGATAAAATGGTGGTTGTATGAGCTGTTAAAAGTAATCTGCATAACGTGGTTCAGTGAAGTCTATTTCCGACGTAAAGTATGTAAAACGATAAATTACGGGTACAAGATAGGTGTCCTGGTTCCGCGACCATAACCGACACCAAAACAAATCAGGGGCGCGGATTTCTGTGTAATTGATAACTTCACATCGGAGGTTTGCATCGTAATAAAGAGTTACACCACCACCCCTTCCAGTTTTATCCTTCCGAAGCAGCGATATAGCGGGTAAATTGATCTCAGAATCCGTTAAAAAGGCTTCACCAGGTATCTGTAATCTTGACGATGTCTCGCGGTGGGGATGCGTGGCGTATTCTAAGTTCACCCAACTTACTAATAAGGACTTGGGCGTTAGTGCACAAACGGGATAGAGTTTTGGATGTTAGGACTGTGTTGCTGGATGTTAGATCCGTGTTTGTCCTTAGACTGACCATTAGGTGGTCCGCGTCCGATCGTGTTTTGGTTGGTAGTGGGTTTACGTATTTCAGTTGAGGTGCATGGCCTCAGAGAGTGTTCCAGATCAGGATGTTCACTAGTGTTTCGCTCTGTCTTATATGCGGTGGGTGCAGTTGTGTCGGTCTCTCGTGGAACTACGGTGACATAGAATTTACTGGGGTAGCAAGTTCCAGCGAATCACTGACAACTCTTGGCCGAGTGCCTGCTTTTAGCCGGACCTTGGTTGGCAACCTGGCGGGAAACTTCAGTCAGTTACCCAACAAAGCTTGTGCCATTCTCTCGGAATTCAGCACTACTTTCATTAAGTCTAGATCGCGGTCCTTGTTGTTATATGATGAGGAAATTCTTAGCACCGATTTTTCGAGTACATTGTCCAGTGAGTGCTTCGCGGATGTAGCACCGCTGCTTTCGGTCTTGTGTAGGCGCTTCGTGATCAAGAGAACCTATAACCTCTGGAACACCATGAATAAATATACTTTTTGCCATTGCCTTGGTAGGGGCGCCTTGGTTATCTGTTACCTTCGGGAGATCTTTCTAAGCAAGATCGGATAATATAAGCAACCAGCTCGGTGGGCTGCGAAGACGAACTGCTAAGGGCAGGACACCCGCTGTCTTATTTGCTGAATTCAGAGTTACACAAAGAATTCGTGTCTCATTATATAACACTGAAGTCGGGGGGCGCGCTACCTGTCTCAGAATAGAGGGCCCAACCTGAATACCGAAGCGTCGTAGATGGAATTCCAATAGCTGCGATCATCTAACAACTCGTCCTCTATTGTACCAGAGTTGGAGTCGTGAACGTTGGTGTACATAAGTTAACGCGCCGTGGTTTTGTCTAGCAACCGTCGGTTTGAAGTTCTTGCTGGTGATTTTGGCTGCTAAGGATGTGCCACTGGAGTTACCGATGAAAGCTACGTCACACCACTTGTGCTCGTTATAGACGATGGACCTACATGTGTGGATTCTGATATGTCTATCGTGACGAGCGATACTTAGGTTACGCGTTTGTTCTCTGCACTGGATTGCCTCTGGTTTTGTGCTGTCAGTGTCGTAATCGAATCCTTAGGTGTAGGCTCCATGAATTGGGCAATAACAATTAAGTTGGATGTGACTTGTCCGATTACGGGAAGAGGATGTGTCCAAATAAGTGGCACAGATACTGTGGAGCGGTAAACGAGACTGACTTTACTCTCTGGCCTAGGTGCAGAACCCAGAAGGGTTGCTGGGGGATAGGATCGGTCTTATTCGATTCCAATGGCGAAGCACTGAGACTGGCCATCTGTTCAATGGTTTTAGTTAATTTTTCGCATAAGTATACAATTAACAATTGGAATAGCTCTGTATACATGGCAAAACCAGAGCGCATAACTTACCTTCTTGAACCACTTTAATCCCATATCTCCGGATATGCTCGGAACCGACTGGGATCTCATGATTTCAGAAAGTTTTGAATGCAACTGTTTTTGTAGGATTGTACTATGGCAACGTTTCGCCCTTGACGCAAGAGCTTTCTCAGGCCTGATGAAGTTCTTGCATCAAATGGGAAACGTTGCCATAATAAAATCCTACGCAAACCGATTTGTATTCAAACCTTGTGAAATCATTTTAATTATACTTGCCTTGCACCACCACACTTATCGTGGAATTAAAAGGCAAAGTTTGAGCAGGTCAGACCAGCACTGACCATGCA